TCTTTGAGGAGACTGACCAGGTTCTGGCTCTGGTCCCAAGAAGACCAAACAGAATTTCCATGGAGCAATCTCAGTAAGGTAGCTTCAGAGAACCACTGGGGACCTTCCCCAGATAAGGGGGAAGGAGCGAACTTAGAAAAATAAAATTACATTAACACTTCTGTGAAAATTGTAGTGTGTCTCTTTCTTTACAATTACATACATACATGCTGTATATACATACATACTGTATATACATACATACATACTGTATATACAAGCACACATATATACTGTACTGTATATACAAACATACATACATATACAGCATACCCCGATATAGCAGATTTTGCAAAAATCTGGACCAAATTTGCCAACCATATTTATCATCCAAATTCCATTTTAATATCTAGCATTAATTGTAATTAAATGAAATGTCTCTTTCTGCACGAAGCCTAGCATCTCTCTGAAGCTATATTCGCTCAGATGGCTCCCAACTTCTAGGTCATATCTGCTGCAGACTTCTATTTGGACAACAGAGGTGCAGAGAGCTGGTAACACTCCACCACCCTACAAGCAAAGCATCTAGAGTCTGCAAACCAATACAGATAACTGCTGGATTCAACATTTGTTATCTTACTGTGCAAATCTGAGACTTGGGCCTGGCATATCTTGAGAGCTTTGAGACAATCCCAATAGTTTAGGTGCTTTATCGTCTCTATGCGTGCAGCATATGTTATCTGCATTCCCTCTATTTCAGCAATTTCTCCTGCTCTGAAGGAGTGAGCAAGTATCAAGCAATACTCAAGGTGGGAAATACCAGGGAGGAGGAGAGATCAAAGGTATTCAAGATGAAGAAGAGACAACTGGCCGAGAGAGACGATCCAAGGGAACACTGGCATCGTGAGGACTGGGAACATTAACTAAATATCGGGCAGTCTAAACTCTTGCACCTGAATATCAGCAGAGAACATGGTAGCAAAGACCGCTGCGAGAATTGCATACTTACAAACAAGGGCACGAGGGAGGACTGCAGGATGGCTGGACTTGATGACACTGGACAACCTGAGAATTAAAAGTCTTGGAACAGGGAACCAAGGAAAAAAGACCAACCCACAAAAAGTCCACCTAGAAAGAATTGTTGGCACAAAGGTAGTGGCAAAGACCTGCCAGCGGGCTCTTTGGATGCGTATGATGCCCCCCTCGACTGAACCAACCAAGCATCAACAACCAAAGGACCCTTCTGGAACCACACTGACTCATTTTCCTCAGACAAGGAGGAGACGGGTGCAGGCAAACATAATACCCCACCAGATCAAAAGAATAAAAACCCCACATCCAGAGAGGAACATGCAGCCCCACGACCCTAAAACCAAAAACGAGTAGAACCGAAAAACAGCTTCAAATAAAGAATCATGGACTGAAAGGAAAAAATAAATAAACTGAGAGGAAAATGAAAGGTGAGAAAGCAGTCACCAGGAGGACTAAGGTGGTGCATCAGCAGACTGAACATGAAACAACGAGCAAAACAGCTTCCGAAAAATGGTGTCAAGTTAGCATCAATGCCAAAACCAAGTGGTAGAGGTTCTGCCAGTCCTATACTATAAGAGGCAACAGTATTAGGCATAATATGCCAGTTGATAAACAACCATGAAAGAAAAAGAAAACACTAACAGAGATGAAAGAATGACAATAAAGTGACAAGAAGTAGCCAAAAGAGAGCCAATACATCCATACTGCAAACAGGGAATGAAGCCACAAAGACACAAGGCATCAATTCCAAACCAACACAAAGATTCATGTTGGGGAGCCCAAACATCTCGCAAAGCCACTATAAGTATGCACAACCAAGGTCCACTCTGTGAAAATGGGACAGAAGAGACAGATCATCCACGAGAGCATTGGATACTCCTCAAGTGTGAATAGTGTCGAGAACCAAACCTCAAGAATCCAGTAGATGAGCTACCTGCAGTGTCCAGCTGCAAAGAGCAATGGACTGAAGGGAGCCCTCTTAGTTCCCTCTTAGTTAATGAACCACTGGGAATCATCTAAATGAAGCCAGAGCACACAGGAATCTTAATCCTCCTTAGGGCATGTCAGAAGGCCAAAATCTCATGTACCGTATTGTGCACTTGACTGAATGAACCTGACAAATGATCCTGGGTAGCCTGCAGCAGCATATGCCAGGTTGGCCAACTTATGTTGGCCAACCTGGCAAATGCTGCTGATGTTATCCTCTTGATATGGGCTTCAGGGGACATGTCAGGCGTGATATCAACCCCCAAGTCAATCTCTCTGACTCTTGAAGACTGTCATCTCCCAAATGATAACTTGTATCTGGCCTCCTGCTCCCTACACCTATCTTCATTACATTACATTCGCTTGGGTTAAACTAACAACCATTCATTTCGTTTGACCATTCCTTCAGCTTGTCTAGGTCTTACGACTCTGTTTTCAGTGAGCCATTAAATGCACTAAAGATTGATAACCCAAATGAATTTTTCATGGATATGATACCAACATCAAATCACATATCAGACGTCGCCCTATCCCCACTAGATTTTGAAGAAGCCATAAACAGTATGCCTATGCACTCTGCACCAGGCCCGGATTCTTGGAACTCCATATTCATCAAGAACTGTAAAAAACCACTATCGCAGGCCCTTCACATTCTGTGGAGACAAAGCCTAGATACTGGCGTTATCCCTGACATACTAAAAACAGCAGAGATAGCACCACTCCATAAAGGAGGAAATAAGGCAGAGGCAAAAAATTACAGACCGATAGCACTAACATCGCACATCATAAAAATTTTTGAGAGAGTGCTAAGAAGTAAGATCACAAAATACATGGAATCACAGCATCTCCATAACCCCGGACAACATGGTTTCAGAACAGGGCGCTCTTGCCTGTCGCAGTTGCTGGACCACTATGATATGGCATTAGATGCTATGGAAGACAAACAAAACGCTGATGTAATTTACACAGATTTCGCAAAAGCTTTTGATAAATGTGACCATGGTGTTATTGCACATAAAATGCGTTCAAAAGGAATTACCGGGAAAATAGGCAGATGGATCTACAATTTCCTGACTGACAGAACCCAATGTGTAATAGTCAACAAAATAAAATCCAGCCCATCAACCGTGAAGAGCTCAGTCCCCCAGGGTACTGTGCTTGCTCCAGTACTTTTTCTCATCCTCATATCGGACATAGACCAGAACACAACCTATAGCACTGTATCATCCTTTGCAGATGACACTAGGATTTTCATGAGAGTTGGCAACATAGAGGACACGGCAAACCTCCAATCAGATGTTGATCAGGTCTTTCTATGGGCTACAGAAAATAATATGGTATTCAACGAGGATAAGTTTCAGCTCATGCGCTACGGAAAAATTGAAAACATAAAAACAGGAACCACGTACAAAACGCAGGCAAATCATAACATAGAACGAAAAGGCAATGTAAAGGACCTGGGTGTACTCATGTCGGAAGACCTTACCTTTAAAGAACACAATAAAGTAGCCGTCACAACTGCAAGAAAAATGACAGGTTGGATAACAAGAACTTTTCACACTAGAGATGCTATACCGATGATGATACTTTTCAAAACGCTTGTGCTCTCTAGAGTGGAGTACTGCTGCACAATGACAGCCCCTTTCAAAGCTGGAGAAATTGCTGACCTAGAGAGCGTGCAGAGATCCTTTACTGCTAGAATCCACTCAGTAAAACATCTAAATTACTGGGACCGACTAAAGAGCCTAAATCTGTACTCCCTTGAGCGCAGGCGGGAGAGATACATAATAATTTACACGTGGAAAATAATTGAGGGGCTGGTCCCAAACCTGCACACAGAAATAACACCACATGAGACCAGAAGACATGGCAGGATGTGCAGAATACCCCGTTGAAAAGCAGAGGTGCAACAGGTACTCTGAGAGAGAACTCTATCAACATCAGAGGCCCGAGACTGTTCAACACGCTTCCACTACACATAAGGGGCATAACTGGCAAACCCCTCACAGTGTTCAAGAGAGAACTGGATAAGCACCTCCAAAGGATACCTGATCAACCAGGCTGTGACTCATACGTCAGGCTGCGAGCAGCCGCGTCTAACAGCCTGGTTGATCAGTCCAGCAACCAGGAGGCCTGGTCGACGACCGGGCCGCGGGGACACTAAGCCCCGGAAGCACCTCAAGGTAGCCTCAAGGTAGGTAGCAGAGTAGCAGTTTAAAAATGACGTTGCAGAAAAATAAAGGACCCAGCCCTAAGCTGTTCCACAGCCATATACGGAGGAAAACAATCAAAAAGATCATGTTCATGTAACCTAACTGTGGAGGCAGGGAGGAATACTATTGAGAATGACAAGGAAGTCTGAAGAACTCAACAAGAGGTTCCAGGTGGTGTACAAACCGGAACCCGAGTGGTGTTCAAGTAGGGGTGACAACAGACAACCAGAAACAACACTAGACAGAATTAAAATGCAGGAGAGGTAAAAAGACACCTGGAAGAACTGAATGTAGCAAAAGCCGTAGGAACAGACTAGATACCATCATCTTACTGAAAGAAATTGCAAGGCTCTTATCTTACCCTTTATCTCTAATGTTCAATATATCCCTAGAGATGAGAGAGCTACCTGGAAACAGGCAAATGTACTGGTAGTTCCAATAATCAAGAAAGGGGACAGACATGAAGGGTAAGCTATAGACCAGTGTCATTAACATGCATTCCATGCAAGATCCAGGAAAACGTCATCAGGAAAGAGACTGTTGCACATTTAGGAAGAGTAAATTTTATAACAGGTACACAACACGGCTTCAGAGAGGGAAATTCATGCTTAACAAACTTTATTGAATTTTATGTTAGGATGTGGAAAATATCTACAGCCTATGATGACAACATTAATGTCAAGAGAGGTAATTGGTGCGCTAGGAATAAACGGTTAGGAGGCGATGCATAAAGAGCTAGATCTCAGTCTCCTGGAGTCAAAAATAGTAAAAAATTGCTAACCATCTCACCTGGATGTAAATGCCGCGCACAGCATCATGGTCTGGTGTCAGCAGAGAGTCAACACAACGCTGCATTAGCCATGACACTACTGACTTGCCCTGTGGGTTATCCTCAGATTTTTCTTCTTCCTCCTCACTTAACTGAAGAAGATAAATAAGAAAATGTTCTAATTACAGTATACTGTATGTACTTTAAAAAATATGACATTATCTTGAGATATTGTACAATGAAACACAATTCCTCATCAACATAATATAGCTCAACCCTTGCAATGTTTACACAGTAAATAGAATAATTGGAAAATGTTCCTTACTAAGTTCATTGTCTCCATTTCCTTCCTCAAGTTAGCCTCGGCTTCATCTTGCTCTTCTCCTGGTAATTCTTCTTCCATGAATGGGGGCGGCATGACCTCTGGTGGCAATGTGAGAGTTGGAGGGGTTGGGATCTGGTACCTCAGGAGCAAGTCTCTCAGTTCTGCTACTTGTGGTTTGATCATCAGTACACTCACCATTACGGAGAAGGCATTTGCACGAACCACAGCCTCTGAAGTAAGTGTCATAGTTGGTATTTACACTCTCAAGACATAATCATGTTAAGAGTTTCCATAGTATGAGCAATATAATGCAATTATGTGAAGCTTGTATAACTACAGTAGCAAAGCAAGTCCATTTCTGAGGCCAATATTTATGCTCTAATAACCCAGTTTTTGTATCATCCTTTGCAGATGACACTAGGATTTTCATGAGAGTTGGCAACATAGAGGACACGGCAAACCTCCAATCAGATGTTGATCAGGTCTTTCTATGGGCTACAGAAAATAATATGGTATTCAACGAGGATAAGTTTCAGCTCATGCGCTACGGAAAAATTGAAAACATAAAAACAGGAACCACGTACAAAACCTTGAAGCCTCAAGCTTCAAGCTCCTCTGTTTTAATCCTTCTACTAATTGCTTTTCCTCCTCAAAGGAAATCCTTCTCATAATTGCTTTCCCTCCTCAAAGTGAGGAGGAAAATAAAATAAAAACAGCAAGGAATAAGTATGGGGGACATGGGTATAGAGGCAAATAGAAAGGCTTAAAGAGGGCCAGGAATGAGTACACAAGAACCAGGAATGCAGCAGAGTAGCAGTTTAAAAATGACGTTGCAGAAAAAGCAAGGAGCCAGCCCTAAGCTGTTGCACAGCCATATACGGAGGAAAACAATCAAAAAGATCATGTTCATGTAACCTAACTGTGGAGGCAGGGAGGAATACTATTGAGAATGACAAGGAAGTCTGAAGAACTCAACAAGAGGTTCCAGGTGGTGTACAAACCGGAACCCGAGTGGTGTTCAAGTAGGGGTGACAACAGACAACCAGAAACAACACTAGACAGAATTAAAATGCAGGAGAGGTAAAAAGACACCTGGAGGAACTGAATGTAACAAAAGCCGTAGGAACAGACTAGATACCATCATCTTACTGAAAGAAATTGCAAGGCTCTTATCTTACCCTTTATCTCTAATGTTCAATATATCCCTAGAGATGAGAGAGCTACATGGAAACAGGCAAATGTACTGGTAGTTCCAATAATCAAGAAAGGGGACAGACATGACGGGTAAGCTATAGACCAGTGTCATTAACATGCATTCCATGCAAGATCCAGGAAAACGTCATCAGGAAAGAGACTGTTGCACATTTAGGAAGAGTAAATTTTATAACAGGCACACAACACAGCTTCAGAGAGGGAAATTCATGCTTAACAAACTTTATTGAATTTTATGTTAGGATGTGGAAAATATCTACAGCCTATGATGACAACATTAATGTCAAGAGAGGTAATTGGTGCGCTAGGAATAAACGGTTAGGAGGCGATGCATAAAGAGCTAGATCTCAGTCTCCTGGAGTCAAAAATAGTAAAAAATTGCTAACCATCTCACCTGGATGTAAATGCCGCGCACAGCATCATGGTCTGGTGTCAGCAGAGAGTCAACACAACGCTGCATTAGCCATGACACTACTGACTTGCCCTGTGGGTTATCCTCAGATTTTTCTTCTTCCTCCTCACTTAACTGAAGAAGATAAATAAGAAAATGTTCTAATTACAGTATACTGTATGTACTTTAAAAAATATGACATTATCTTGAGATATTGTACAATGAACCACAATTCCTCATCAACATAATATAGCTCAACCCTTGCAATGTTTACACAGTAAATAGAATAATTGGAAAATGTTCCTTACTAAGTTCATTGTCTCCATTTCCTTCCTCAAGCTAGCCTCGGCTTCATCTTGCTCTTCTCCTGGTAATTCTTCTTCCATGAATGGGGGCGGCATGACCTCTGGTGGCAATGTGAGAGTTGGAGGGGTTGGGATCTGGTACCTCAGGAGCAAGTCTCTCAGTTCTGCTACTTGTGGTTTGATCATCAGTACACTCACCATTACGGAGAAGGCATTTGCACGAACCACAGCCTCTGAAGTAAGTGTCATAGTTGGTATTTTACACTCTCAAGACATAATCATGTTAACAGTTTCCATAGTATGAGCAATATAATGCAATTATGTGAAGCTTGTATAACTACAGTAGCAAAGCAAGTCCATTTCTGAGGCCAATATTTATGCTCTAATAACCCAGTTTTACACCACTAGCCCAGGAAAAGCAGAGACTCTTGCATCTTAATATGGTATATGCCATTAAGTCTAAAGGAAATGCAGAAATACAAATTCACAAAGATTGTTTCAAAATAAATCACTTATAAATTGCAGCACATTTTTTTTTTAATTTCAAATGCACCAAATTTCTAGTTGCAAATATTATAAATATTGCCCCACTTGCCACTATCATGAAGAAGGAAAGCACTAGAACACCAGCGTTGAATGTAATGAAAAGCCATTTTCTGGGCGAGTCCCAGAGGCTCCCCAGAGCTATCCAAGCTGATATCGATATTAACAACTTTCTAGCATTAGTCAAAGTGCATGGAGTTCGACCTACTGGAGACCATGAGCCAGAACCTGGCCCCCTTCAGATGAGCATAAGGAGCAATGGCCTATAGAAATCCCCATGTGTGGTTGGGAGCATTCTATGTCTGCCATCGACTGGGTCTGGCACCCAGAAAAGTAGGCACCCAAAAACAAACCCCTATTCTGGTGAAAATATTGCTATCAAAAGCCGAACGAGTGGACAGAACTCTCCAAACAAAAAGTGGCAAATGAGCACGATGTCATCACGTTGCCGCACTGTTGTCTGCACAACCACCCCCCTGGCAGGGGAAAGGGGGAAACCCCAGAGCCTCGCGCCGGCGATCGAACTAACAGTTCTTAAGTTGGATGTCAAAAATATGCGAAAAACACCGCCGACTAGAGGGAGGGAGGGATGTTGGGGAGCCTCTGGGACTCACCCAGAAAATGGCATTTCATTACATTCAATGCTGGTGTTCTGGGGGGAGCCCCATCGGCTCCCTGGAGCTAACTACCCAAAGAAAAGGAAAAACAGGGACTTACCCGGGCGGCAGTCAGTCCTCACTCCTCAACGCAAAGTCAAGAGAACTGGCTGCAACCACCAACCCAATGCAACGCAGGCCCTGAACCATGTCAGGTCCAGGGACATTGACAAGATAGAGAGCGGCCAGGATCCTGTTTGACCTCCAGAAACCCTGTGCCCGAATGTCAACCCAAGACATGTTGCCAAAAACAGCAGCCAAAGCAGCAAACTTACGAACATCGTGGGCACGAGGATAGACTGCAAGCTGGCTAGACTTAATAACCATGCGGACGGCCTGGGAGACCTGTGCCCGGGAACAGGGAAGGGGAGAAACTGGGTCAACCCAAAGCGCATCCCCCGCCACCGAAGCCATGGCGCACAAATAACAGCAGAGAGCCGCAACCAGACACAACACATGATGCATCCCGGCCTGACCAACCAAGCATCAACAACCCAAGGACCCCTCTGGAAAGCAGCAGTCTCGTTCTTCACCAGAAAAGAAGGAGACGGCTGCAACTGAACAAACCTACCACCAAGACCAAAAGAGTAGGATCTCCTGCGCCGGAGGAGAGCATGAAGCTCCCCGTCCCGACCCCTAGAAGCCAACAGGAAAGAGCCTTGGGGGGGGGGGGGGGAAGAAATCCTGAACCGAAGGGGCCACAACAAAAGGAGGAGAAGAGAGAAAAGATAGCACATGGTCCAAAGACCAGGAAGGCTCAGGTGGCGCATGAGCAGGCTGGAGGTGAAATAATGCACGCGACAACTTTCGGAACGGAGCAGACGTAACATCAATACAAAACGCAGACAGGAGCGGCTCCGCAAGCACTGTACAATATGAGGCGACAGTATTTGGCATAAGATAAAGGTCCTGAAACAACCATGAAATGAAGGACAAAACAACCCTATCAGAGACCGAAGTACACCTACTCAGTGATAGGAAAAACCGGGACGACTGCCAGGAAACATCATACTGCCACCAAGATGAAGCACACAGGTGAGAGTTTAATAACAAAGTCACCTGCGCCCATACAAGTAATGATAAACCCGAATCAGGAACTCCAGATACGAAGACTTGAGGAGAAGAACGAACCAGCCTCGTACCGGGCTGGACCGATCTGTTGAAAGAGGCAGAGCCGCGGGAAGACCTCGAGTTCAGACACCAAGCAAGCAGCACCTGAAACCAAGGCTGGGCTGGCCACCAAGGAGCCAGAAGGACAACTCTTCCCTGGTAAGTCTACAAGCGAGCCAAGACCTAGAGCAACAGCTGAACTGGGGAAAAGAGGTACAATATAGATAACTCCACATCACCCAGTCCAGCCTGAAGGCATCGTCACCAATGGCCTCGCAGTTGGGAAAGGGTGCCATGTATACCATGAGACGCCTCAACCATGCCGATGCAAAGAGATCCACTTCCAGAGGCCCGAACGTCTGGCAGAGCCAACTCAACGAATTGGCGTCAACCATCCATTCCCTGGAAAGGGGGAATGAACCGGGACAGGCCGTCCACCAGAACATTGGACACATCCCGAACGTGAACAATCCAGGAGAGCCAAACTACAAAAACTAGACAGATGAGTCACCCGTAAAATATGAACATATTGGAGTGAACGATATGGAAGAAAATGCAGAATAGAACTAGTGAAAAGCAAGGGGTGCAATAGGCATAATCAGAGAACAGTGTATAAATATCAGAGGGCCACGGTTGTTCAATATCCTCCCAGCGAATATAAGAAATATTGTCGGAACAATCGTGACTTCTTCAAAAGAAAACTAGATAGTTTTCTTCAAGGAGTGCCGGACCAACTGCCGAAGAAGCCACAGGCAAAAAGAAAAAGAAAAGAAAAACCCTGCAAAAGTACAGCACCTCCAAAGGAACAGAACTGGCCGCTATGATATTATAAGACAAGGTGCACTGTACCTTGCACCCCAACCAGCAACTACCTCTTACCCAAGGCCAAACAGTAGCTAAGCAAAACCACAGCTAACCCCAAAGGTGGACAATCACCGAACAGCAAAAGACCCTGCGGAGGTAGATCCCGAGCAACTTGTGGAAGGCAACCCAAAGCTGCAAGGGCAGTAGTTACAGGGAACCTAGGGAAGAAGACTCTAGGTGCATGCAGCCCACGTACTTCTTGAATTACTCCTGGCTCACACAGCACAACAACCTCACAAGGCACAGGTTTGCTAAGAATCAGGAGCCAAAGTCAAACGACTGCCACTCAACACATCAGCCTCAGAACTGGGATTGGCTAACCAGCGATGGGTCCGGGACTAGTACTTTCCCCTCCCAGGGAGGGGGATGTTGCACGGACAGGCGGCGCGGCGGTGGGTGTGACATCATGCTTGTTTGCTTGTTTTCAGATTGGGAAGTTCCGTTTAGCAGTTTGGTTTTTGGTAGTAATGTTTCACCATTTGAGGTCTGTTTTGGGATGCCTACCTTTCTGGGTGCCTAACCGGGTAGATGGCATAGAATGCTGCCAACTACATGGAGGTTTCTATAGGCCATTGCTCCTCGTGCCTCTTTGAGGGAGCCAGGTTCTGGCTCGTGGTCTCAGGTAGGCTTAGAACTCCATTCGCTTTCACTGATGTCACGGTCAAATACAGTACATATCAGCTCCGTATAGCTCCAGGGAGCTGGAGGGGCTCTCCACAGAAAAGAAAAAAGATGGAAAGGTACAGTAGGTATCATGCAAATTTTTATCAAAAATACTCCATCAAATTAAATTAAAGCATATATAGCAGAAGCACAGCTGTATAAGAGACCATATGCAAACAATTACAATCCCAACCAAAATGTTTATTATTCATTCTAGCCTGAGAAGCTGCTTCTACCTAGTCGGTTCAGTGTCACTTTTCATTCCTGTTTAAATGCACAACACACCTCCTTGGACTCTTGTTACTCACATGCATATTCAGTAATTGAGAATTCTTAAGCCGACTCCCTGATGTAAGAAAATAGATGTGTATAAATTAAATCAAAAGATAACCTTAACAATTACAGCACTAACCTTTATATCTCATAAAGTACTTGACGTGAGTGACAATCTTGGTGAGAAGACCAGGTTTAAGTTTTGAATAGTTAACATTTTCAACAAGTAACTCAATTGTTTTAAGAGTTCTGACAAGAGCACCAGGAAACTTTTCCGAGAGAAGGGCCAATGCCAGACAACGATGAAGCTCTCGTATGCTGGTGCCAAGCTGGTGGCCAAGTGTCGTGTATGAGGTCTTTCCTTCACTGTAAGACAATACAAAATACAGCACTGTTACATAAAAAAAAAAACAGCACTGAAAGTAATGAAATGCCATTTTCTGAGTGAGGGACCAGTGGCTCCCTGATGCTACTACTGTATATAATGATATGGTACAATTTATTAGATCACATCACCTGTGAACTTCTAAAGGCCTATCAGGGGCCAGAACCAGAACCTTGCCAATTTGAAGAGGTGCAGGGAGTTGTAATATTTATTTTCACTACCTCCCCGGGGAAGGCAACCAGAAAATCACAAAATCAAAACAAATCACTAGTGGCTTCAAAAAGAGACCAAAGCCACAAAATCTACCCAAAGAACTCCCACAACTATGTAAACAATTGATCAAATTCTCTTGAAACTAGCATGAATTCGTTTACGTCCCGCCCCTACTTGTATGGGGAAGTGGGAAGCTCACTTCCAGCCAGCACCTCGGCCCTCAGTTCTAGAGCAGGTGTAGGCATTCACCTGACGACCTGGAAGGGAGGGAGGGAGAGTATCTGGGACCCACCGGGGCTCAACCAGAAATTGGTGTTTCGTTACATTCCATGCTGGTTTTCTGGGGGAAGCCCTTTGTGGCTCCCTGAAGCTGAATTTTCCTTCTCCCTGAACCCATGGAGAAGGAAAACATAAGGGAACTAGCTCACAAGGAAGGAGGGAACACCATGGGATTCATGGCTAAGATCAGACCCAAGGCTAAGAGACATGACATTAAGCCATACATGGATGCCAAGACCTAGAACACTGACAAGATAACAGGCCAACAGGACACTATTCAGTCTTTAAAAAACTAGGGGTAGACAGAAGGCTGACTAGACTTAACACTGAGGAGAGGATGACCACAGAGTGATCAGCCTAGGAACAGGTGGACCAGGAAAAACCCAGCGTTAAATGTAATGAAACGCCATTTTCTGGGTGAGACCCGGGGCTCCACGGAGCTATCCAGGCTGAAATGTATATCATTAGACTTTGGCATCAGTCAGTGTGTATGGAATTCTAGGCCTACCAGAAGACCACGAACCAGAACCTGGCCCCCCCCCCCTTCCTCAGAGAGCCACGAGGAGCAATGGCCTATAGAAATGCACATGGGATTTGGAGCATTCTATGTCTGCCATCAACTGGGCCAGGCACCCTGAAAGGTAAGCACCTCCAAACAAATCCCTATTCTGGTTAAAACAACAATAAAACACAAACGAGTGGACAGAACTCCCAAAATGAAAACGAGCAAACAAGCATGACATCACATGAGCTGCACTGCATGTCTGCGCAGCTCCTCCCTCCCTGGGAGGGGGAGGGGGAAGGGGGAGCCCCCAGACCTAACATGCCAGCGATCCACAATCCAGTTCGAGACTGGATGTCAAAATATGTGAAAAAATTGCCGACTGTGGTTGCCGGGGAGCTTCTGGGTCTCACCCAGAAAATGGCGTTTCATTACATTCAACGCTGGTTTTTTGAGGGAGCCCCTTCGGCTCCCTGGGTACATCACCAAAGACAAAAACTAGAGGGACTTACTCGGAAGGCGGGCGGTGCTTGCACCTCAACTCGAAGTTGAGACAACAGGCTGCAACCGCCGACCCAAAGCGACACAGGCCCAACTAAGCCCAGGAACATTTACGAGGTAGCGTGCAGCCAAGACCCTGTTCGACCAACAAAAACCCCGTTCCCGAATATCAGCCCAGGACATGTTACTGAAGACAGCAGCCAATGCAGCAAACTTATGAACGTCATGGGCACGGCGATAGAACACAGGCTGGCTAGACTTAATAACCCTGCGGACGAACTGAGAGACCCATACCCATGAACAGGGAAGAAGGAAAACCGGATCAACCCAAAGCGTGTCCCCGATAACAAAAAGCCGTGGCGCACAAATAACAGTGGAGAGCCGCAACAGGACACAACACATGATGCACCCCCAGCCTGACCAACAAAACATCAACAACCCAAGGACCCCTCCGGAAAGCAGCAGTCTCATTCTTCACCAGAAAAGAAGGAGACGGCTGCAAACGAACGAACCTACCACCACGACCAAAAGAGCAGAAACCCGTGCGCCAGAGGAAAGCATGAAGCTCCCCAACCCGATCCCCAAAGGCCAATGTCAACAGGAAAAGAGCCTTAGAAAACACAATTCTGAACCAAAGGGGCCGCAACAAAGCGAGGAGAAAAGAGATAGGAGAGCAATCCATCCAAAGACCAGGATGGCTCAGGTGGCGCATGAGCAGGCCGGAGGTGAAACAACGCATGAGACAGCTTGTGAAACGGTGCAGAAGTAACATCTATAACGAAAGCAAGCTGTAACGGCTCTGCCAGCGTCACAAGATATGAGATGACAGTATTCGTAATAAGATGACGGTTCTGGAACAACCACGAGAGAAAGGACAACAGCACCCGAACCGAAAACGAAGTACAATGACGAACAGTGAAAAAGAAACCTAGAGGACCGCCAGGAAACTTCATACTGTCCTTGAGACGACGAAGCCCAGAGGTGGGACACCATAAAGAAAGCCACCTGATCACCATACAGATGGTGATAAACTCGAGTCAAAAATACCAAACACGAAGACTCAAGGAGAGGAGCGAACCAGTCTCGTAATGGACTGGGCCAATCTGTTGAAAGAGGCATCCATTCCATGGACAGGGGAACAAACCGGGACAGGACGTCTGCCAGGACGTTGGACACTGTCCGGATGTGGAACACCAGGAGAACCAAACCCCGAGAACTCAGCAGACGAGCCTCTCGAAGCGACCAGCCCCAAAGAGCCAAGGAACGCATCGAACCCCCCCTTGATTCAGGCAATGAACCACCTGGGAGCAGTCCGAATGGAACCCTCTGAAGTGCAAACCACACCACCGCAAGCTCTCACACCATGTTCTGGGCCCAACGGAAGGATGGCCCCCACCGCCCCTGGCCGGCCTGGTGAGCACTGGTCACAAAGTCTCAGCCAAGAGACGACGCGTCTGTGAACACATCGAGTAAGGGCTCGGGTAGGCGCCAAGGCACTGAACCCCGAAAAACCCAAAGAGGAAGCCAGCGATGCAGCAGCCGACATAAGGCCCCTGGGGGTCGAACCCAGCAATCACAAGAGAGGCGGAAGGGACATCCATGAAGGAACAAGAACAGCCAACGAAGCCAAACCCGACCCAGTGGGTAGACCATCATCACAAAGTTCAGGCTCCCACACAGACCCTTGAGCAACTGCCGGGTGACCCGGGAGCCCCCAGAAACAGGCACGTGCAGGACCGCAGCCGATGAAGAGACTCCGGAGGGAGAGACAAGAAAGCGGTCCAAGAGTCCCACACAAGACCCAGCCAGGTCCGAACCTAGGAGGGAACCAATTGGGACTTCCACCAGCTGGGAAAGCACCAAACCCCTGGTGAGCTGCCACATGGACTGACTGAGAGCCCAAACCAGCCAGTCATCGAGGTAAGCCAACATCCGAACACCTAACAGATGCAGACGGGCCACCACGACCCGGGTAAGGTGTGTGAACATGGGAAGTGCCAGGTTCAACCCTAATGGGAGACAACAAAAGCGGTAACTCTGACATCCCATAACAAAACCGAGCCAGTCCCTGAATCCCGGATGAATCGGGATGTGCCAATACGCATTCTTGAGATCCAGGACACCATCCAAGTGCCCGGCTCCAACAGAAGCCTGACCTGGGACAGAGTGGTCATTCGAAAGGAGGGGGCAAGAAACCCATGGGTTCAGGCGGGACAAGTCCAGACTGAACCACAGGTCCGCACAGTCCCATTTCGGAACTGGAAACAGACGGGGAAACCCACCTGAGAAACGTTGTCATTTCGACCACGGCCAAGTGCACCTACTCCAAGACAACCTGACAGAGCGCAGGAAAAGGGGCTTGCCCATGGCTCCAAACCCCTCGAAGGAAGAGGAGCCAACACCACCGCACGTCACAAGAAACAAACCCAAAAAATCATGAATCCTGAGACCAGGCGTGAGTGAACAGAGCAAGCCTTCCCCCCCCATCGCCCCATCAATGGAGCGAACCACAAAAGGGCTGATGCTCCTTATGAGAACCCGACGTGTGCAAAGAGCGAGCACCTCGCCGACCAGGCGCAGCCGGGACCAAAGGCGGCACCGGCTCCGAAACTGGCACCTGTGGCCCACCTTGACAAGAGGAACTGGGAGCCCTGGCACGACCCCTCCGGGACGAACCCACCCGAGACCTTAGAACCAACAAGTCAGACATCAGGCAGCAACTGGAAGCCGCCCCTTGCATATACCACTCGACTGCAGAGGCCGCAACAATAAAGGACAAAAGGGCGAAGACATTCTAAGAGCCAGGGCCCAAGTGGATTCTAAGGAGGAAGCGAGCACCACCTGTCGACATGCGAGACGTGCAGCGAAAAACCGCGACAGCGCATCCCACAGGATTGCGCAAACAGCTTCAAAAGTGCAGATGACGCACAAGCAGCCGAGACAAAGCCGCCAGACCCAGGAGCGGCCCCAAGCACCTCCACATCCCCCAAGCCAATCCGAAGACAGCGCAATGAGGGAAAAGAAACACAGGACTGAAGCCAACGAGCCCCGCGCGTGTAAGTCCTCAGCCACAAGCACAGCCGACAGGGAAGGGACCTGTACATGAAGCTGAACATCCCGCAGAATAGCCAGAGTGAAAAGGCACTCATTAAGGTGCTCAAAGTTGCCCCAGGTAAACCTTGACCACAGTCAATGTCTAGTACTATTCAAGCGTGCGGGGCCGACAGACGGTGTCCCAAGCATCCAGCGAGAACAAAGGGCAGTCCACAAGCCAGGACAACTCCGGAACCTAATAACGAACCCAGTATGGAGATGAAGATCCAAACCTGAAGGAAGACGGATCCATTATAGAAGCATACTTTGGGTCGTGCAGGAGGTAAGCCGCAATGGCTGCCCGCACCCCAGCAGGCGACATGGGAAGCTGAAAACCTCTGGAAGGACGGACCTGAAGGTCCCCGCAGGGACACGGAACCGAATCTGGGAAGGAGCCGAACCCAAAGCCAACTCGTACGCAGAGTGGGGGAAAGGAAAACCCCACTCCTTGTAACAGTAAGCCCCGCTCGGAGGGCCTGAAAACCCAGGCGGGGACCAACGGGGCCCAAGGCCTCCAAGTGAGCTCCTCCCCAACCTCGGGACCTCCATGTCAGGCCCCGGGGGCAAGTCGTCCTCCAAAGCCCCTGACTCACAAGAAAAGGCTGGGGTGGCCAAAAGAGCAGGAAGAGAGTGGGCCCACTGGTCAGACCCCGGAGCAATGGCTGGAGGAACAGACTCGAATGCCTCCGTCGCCACCCTGGATGGGGCAACCCTTGAAACCGCCCGAGTGTCAGAAATCTCTAAACACTGTCCCGACCCCGAAGCCATCAGACGCTTAGAAGCCGGAAGCAGGGATGGGGGGAAACAAATGAACCACATCAGGGAAAGAACAAGGGGATGCGGACTGAACCAAGGCCGACGCGACCAACACCCTCAAGTCCGGGTCCCTATCAGCAAAGCGGGGCAGCCTCAGGGCATCCGGAAAAGCAACCAACCTAGCACGTTGCAACAACCTAAATCTATCTTGCAACGCATGAGCCGCCTGTTCCCAAATAATGTCATCAGTAGATTGGGTGAATTGAGTCACAAACGAGCAACAAAGCTTGCAGGACTCAAGGTCGAAGTTGCCACCGACCCAACAGGAGGCAAAAACATTGAGCGTCGCCATGAGACAAGGGGTTAGAGCAACCCTCAAACTCGCACAAAGTGAGGGGGGGGGGGGGGGACTCAGGGGGTCACATCCATAGGACCCGAGTGCCCCTGCGGGGTTTCCCAGGGCCCAATGGCCTATAGAAACTCACATGTGGTTGGAAGCATTCTGTCTGCCATCTACCGAGTTAGGCACCCAGAAAGGTAGGCGTCCTGAAACAGACCCCAACTGGTGAAGCATTGCTACCGAAAACCAAACTGTTAAGCAGAACTCCCCAATCTGACAACAAGCAAACAAGCATGACGTCACATCCACTGCCGCGTCGCCTGTCCTCGCAGCTCCCCCATCCATGGGAGGGGAAAGGAGAAGCCCCATACCCCGCACCGGCTACCCAACCCCAGTTCTGAGGTTGATGTGTTGCGTAGTGGTCGTTCGACTCTGGCTCCAGTCTCTGAAAAGTACTGTGCCTGGTGGTGCTGTTCTGTTGTGTGGTGGTGTGCGGGCCAGGCGTAATTTCTGAAGTACTGGGACTGCATGCACCTAGGGCCATCTTCCCTATGTGCCCTGTAAGTACTGCCCTTGCGGCTTGGGGTTCTCTTCCACAAGTTGTTTGGGAACTACCTCTGTAAAGATCTTTTGCAGCTCAGTAATTGCCCGCCCTTGGGGTCAGCTAAGGTTTTCTTGGTCGCTGTTTGACCTTGGGTAGTAGGTAGTATCGTCGCTGGTAGGGGCGCAAGGTACTATGCAACTTGTCTAATAATATCACAGGGACCGGATCTGTTCCCTTGGAGACGTTGTACTTTTGTGGGGGTTTTCTTTTCTTTTTTGTTTTTGCGTGGTGGGGGGTCTGCCCCTTGGTTATAGTTCACCCTCTGTTATTCTGGTGGTCCCCCACTAGGGCCCCTGTGATTGTACACGTTGCAGGGGTTCAGCTTTATTTGTTTTCTTGGTAGTTTGGGCACTGGTTAGCAGTGCCATGCCTGGGCTTCCCTTAGCAGTCAGCCTAAGGGCCCTGGAAAACGCTACCAGGGCTCACTGGTCTGAAGGATGCGTCCTCACGGTCCCATCTCGCTTCGTGCAAGTTTGAAGGTTGCTCTGTCCCCTTGTCTCAGGGTGACACTCACCGTTCTTGCCTTAATTCAATTCAACTCCATTCAAATTGACTGATGCTACGGTCTAATACATACATATCAGCCCTGTATAGCTCCGGGGAGCAGGTGGGGCTCTCCACAGAAAAAAAATATACACAAATTTTAACTGTAGAGATATGACAACATAACTCACTTCTCAACAGCAAGTGTGAGGACTTGTGAAGAATCCAGGAGGAAAGTGTTTATAACTTGCAGTGATGCCATTCTTACTGAGGGAGAAGGGTCCTTCAACACACTTGTCATTAGAGATGGGCTTTGACACATTAAAGGAGGCCAGTAGCTGAACTTGTGCTGTTTTCCAACTTTCTGTATAAGAAAAATAACAAAATCATTAACCAGTAAGATGATGAGTCTGTTGATTTCAAGAAAAAGTTGATGCAGAGAACTGTGAGCTTGGTGAAACACACAACTTTGTTTCAATGAAAATATAAGACTGACAATCTGTACCAATATAAATTCCAAGTGTCATGTGATGTAAATATCTAACTTTACCTGAGGGCCACCATCTACGGTATATTGAACTTGATGAGGACCACAAGAAAGGTTTATAACCTTATGGGAGAAAAATCCAGCGTTGAATGTAATGAAACGCCATTTTCTGAGTGAGTCCCGGAGGCTCCCCGGAGCTATCCCGACTGAATGGATATGTATAACTTTCTGGCATCAGTCAATGCATGGAGCTCATGCCTACCGGGGACCATGAGCCAGAACCTGGCCCCTTCTAGAGAGGCACGAGGAGCAATGGCCTATAGAGACCCTCCTTATGATTGGGAGCATTCTATGTCTGCCATCGACCGGGACAGGCACCCAGAAAGGTAGGCGCCCCAAAACAAACCCCTATTCTGGTAAACTATTGCGACCGAAGACCGAACAGGTGGACAGAACTCCCCAAACGAAAATTAGCCCTCATGAAGTCATCATGTCGCCGCGCCGCCGTCTGCGCAACCCCCCTACCCAGGAGGGGGAAGGGGGGAGCCCCAGACCCCACCGTCGGCGACCCAACCATTAGTTCTTAGGCTGGATGTCAAAAAACGCGAAAAACACCGCCGACCGGAGGGAGGGAGGGAGGGATGCTGGGGAGCCTCCGGGACTCACCCAGAAAATGGCGTTTCATTACATTCAACGCTGGATTTCTGGGGGGAGCCCCGTCGGCTCCCCGGAGCTAACTATCCAAAGATAAGGAAAAAACAGGGACTTACCCGGGCGGCAGCCCGTCCTCACTCCTCAATGCGAAGGCGAGACAACTGGCTGCAACCGCCGACCCAAAGCAATGCAGGCCCGATGAGGCCCAGGAACATTCACCAGGTAGCGGGCGGCCAGGACCCTGTTCGATCTCTAAAAACCCCGGGCCCGAATGTCCACCCAAGACATGTTGCCAAAGCAGCAAATTTACGAACGTCGTGGGCCCAGGGAAAAACTGCAGGCTGGCTACACTTAATAACCCTGCGGACAACCTGAGAGACCCGAGCCCGGGAACAGGGAAGAAGGGAAACCGGATCAACCCAGAGCGCATCCCCAGCAACAGAAGCCGTGGCGCGCAAATAACGGTGGAGAGCCGCAACCGGACACAACACATGATGCAACCAACCAAGCATCAACAACCCACGGCCCCCTCCGGAACGCAGCCGTCTCATTCTTCACCAGAAAAGAGGGAGACAACTGCAAACGAACAAAACGACCACCAGGACCGAAAGAGCAGAAACCCCGGAGCCAGAGGAGAGCATGAAGCTCGCCAACCCGACCCCCCGATGATAATGCCAACAGGAAAAGAGCCTTTGAAAAACAATCCCAAACGGAACGGGCCACCACAAACCTGGGCAGAGAGAGAAACGAGACCATGCGGTCCAAAGACCAAGACGGCTCAGGCGGCGCATGAGCAGGCCGGAGGTGAAACAACGCGCAAGATAACTGGCGAAACGGAGAGGAAGTAAAATCAACCCCGAAAGCAAGCTGAAGCGGCACGCCGCACGATACAAAGCGACAGTATTCGGCATAAGATGATGGTCCTGAAACAGCCAAGAGAGAAAGGACAGAACAACCCTATCAGAGACCAAAGAACACCGACGCAGTGATAGGAAAAACTGGAAGGACCGCCAGGAAACCTCATACTGCTGCTGAGACGAAGCACGCAGGTGGGAGACCAACAACGAAGCCACCTGTGCACCATATAACGAATGATAAACCCGAGTCAAAAACACCAGACGTGAAGACTCGAGGAAAAGATGGAACCAGCCTCGTACAGGGCCGGACCGATCTGCTGAAAGAGGCGGAGCCGCGGGAAGACCCTCGGGTATGGACACCGAGCAAGCAGCTCCTGAAACCAAGGCTGGGCTGGCCACCAAGGGGCCAGAAGGATCACACGACCCTGGTAAGTCTCCAAGTGAGTCAGGACCTAGAGCAACAGCGGAACCAGGGAAAAGAGGTACAGGTAACCCCACCTCGCCCAGTCCAGCCTGAAGGCGTCGACCCCGACGGCTTCGCAGTCGGGAAAGGGTGCCACATAAACCAGGAGACGCCTCGACCACGCCGACGCGAAGAGATCCACTTCCAGAGTCCGAACATCCGGCACAGCCAAAGGAAGGAGTCGGCATCGATCGTCCACTCCGAGGACAGGGGACGGAACCGAGACAGGCTGTCCGCCAGGACGTTGGACACCCCCCGGACATGAACCGCCAGGAGAGCCAAACCCCGAGAACTCAGCAGACAAGTCACCCAAAGCGACCAGCCCCAAAGAGCCAAGGATCGCATTGAACCCCCTCGGTTCAAACAATGAACCACCGGGGAGCAGTCCGAATGGAGCCGGATCGTCGATCCGCGAGTGGCTCGAATCCTCCGGAGCGACATCCACACTGCCGCGAACTCCCGGACCGTGCTGTGAGCCCGACGGAAAGACGGAACCCACCACCCCTGGCCGGCCTGGTGAGCACTGGTCACAAAACCCCAGCCAAGAGACGACGTGTCCGTGTACACATCGAGCAAGGGCACGGGAAGGCGCCAAGACACCAAACCCCGAAAAACCCGAAAAGGAAGCCGGCGATGCAGCAACCGACGCAAAGCCCCCGGTACCTATTATTGGTATAGGTTAAGTAATAATTGTAATTACGAAGCAATAAGATGCTTATCTTAACATACAAAGAAGGTTAGGTAAGGTCGGTGTTTTCTATGAAGCTTTTCAAGGTAAACTAGTATGTTTAGTATGTCACATATGCACGTATTTAATAAGTCAATAATGACTGTAAGAAAGTGTGAGAACGGGTTGCTGACAATGTGGCTTCTTGAGCTTCAAACTGTTGCCTCTTGTGGAAGTTACATTAGACCATTTACAGAATTGGTGTAGGCTCTTCCTACACCAATATGATTCTTATTGTTCTTCCAATATGATCCTTATATTAAAGTCTCAATGTGATCGGCCCTGTTATGTCTGGTTTGCAGTGATATTAGTCTTTAAGCCCTCAACCATTTCTGCCGGGAGAGTTCACTTAGTTCTGGGATGAATTTTGTCACCTTGAGGTTATCTTGAGATGATTTCGGGGCTCTTTAGTGTCCCCGCGGCCCGGTCCTCGACCAGTCCTCCACCCCCAGGAAGCAGCCCGTGACAGCTGACTAACTCCCAGGTACCTATTTGCTGCTAGGTAACAGGGGCATTCAGGGTGAAAGAAACTTTGCCCATTTGTTTCTGCCTCGTGCGGGAATCGAACCCGCGCCACAGAATTACGAGTCCTGCGCGCTATCCACCAGGCTACGAGGCCCCCTACTTCTGGTGTTGAACTTTTTCCAAAGCAGATATGCATATCCTTGTGATGGTGTGCTTTCCATGCATGGAGACCTCATCATCAAAAGGATATACATCACAAGGATAGTACTCATATCATTGAGTTGAGTCCCCTCACATTGCTCCAATTGATATTCTCATTGTTATTATTATAAAAATGATAGGAAATCAAGCGATGAATGTAATGAAATGACCCTTTTTGGTAGGCCCTCAGTTGCTATCTGGTAATTACAGTAGTACTGCTAAGCCTGAGGATCACCTAGCCCTCTAAGATCCACACTCACCTGCTGAAAGTCACGACTAGAATCTACCTCTCAAAGAGGTAAGGGACGCTCGGGAAGCGGGGGTCAAAGATCTAGGCAAAGCTAAGGAAACCAGTGAAAAATTTAAGGCAAAACAAAACAAGCTGCTGCTTGAAGGAAATGAACAGTGAGGAAAACAAGGCAAGTGATATTTTCTGCAGGTAGAAAATGCTTAACCATAATGTGCTATCTTGAGGTTATCTTGAGATGATTTCGGGGCTTTTTAGTGTCCCCGCGGCCCGGTCCTCGACCAGGCCTCCACCCCCAGGAAGCAGCCCGTGACAGCTGACTAACACCAAGGTGCTTATTTTACTGCTAGGTAACAGGTGCATAGGGTGAAAGAAACTCTGCCCATTGTTTCTCGCCGGCGCCCAGGATCGAACCCGGGACCACAGGATCACAAGTCCAGTGTGCTGTCCGCTCGGCCGACCGGCTCCCTCACTAGAGTGAAACTCCCTCACTCCCTCTCACTAGAGTGAAACACCAAATTGTGATTTGACAATAATCACATTCGTTTTGGTACCTGATCCTCTCATCAACAGTAAGAATTTCAAAATGATACCAGAACTTTTTCATGGGTCTAGATTAACTCTGTTACATCGATACAGATGTACTACAACCATATTTATATCTTTTGTATAAAAACCGGGTGATAACTAAAATTAACCTATGGCTATAACCACATTAACCTGTGGGTTAACATGTGATGATAACTGTATTTTAAGGGCAAAATCATTTACACTGTAGCAACAATCATTTTTTTTTACCTGATTTGTTTCAAGCAATTGCTTGTTTAGCTGTGCCTATTCATTCTGGTGGACTTTTTCTACTTTTGAATTTATTTTGATCTCCAAGCTCCTCTTGCCACAGAGAGAACCAGATTCTGTCCATTGCTTCCAGTAGGCATGGGCTGGTCTTGGAAGCCTGGTGTAATTTCTTCGGGCTAAGTTCAGGGAGCTATTGATGGGGCACTCACAGGAAAATAAATACTGTACAAGCCATGTTTATATCAAAGCCTTAAAAACAAACTATAAACTATACCTTACACTCCTTTGTGGAAGCAATGGAAAAACATAAAATATGAGCAATATCAAAGTTAAACAGCTAAATAGAATCAATACCAAGTATTGAACTGCATGCAATACATTCTTTAACTAATCAAGTAGAATTACAAAACACACATGGTGACACAAGTCTGACCTCACATTGAGCCTGACCTTTCTTCTTGAAGTCAACTGTTACATAAGCTGATGCCCGACACATGCTGGACATGCCAGCCACACACTCCCAACCTCTCTTATTGTTACAGAACTGACTATAAAAACAATTAGTATGAATGTAATGAATACACCCTTTTGTTTGTAGGACGGCCCAGTAGCTCTCGGTAGCTATAGCACTGAAGCTATAAAGATAGGAAATCACACCAGGCCTCTGAGATGCTAGACTGCCAGCACCCAGGACCAAAGAGGGAGCTTGGGAATTAGAAATCTGCTCAAAACACAAACAAAATTCACAGGAAATAATAGGTACAACCAAGCAACCATCTGCTTGGTACATTCCTGAATTGCACTGGCTAAACGCATTTGTCTTCTGCTATCACTGAGCTGGATATGGCATTATGTTATAAACTTATCCTGTTTCAAATCCATGAGGATTCTGGGAGAGGCCCCTGGTGAGTCCCTATAGCTATCTCGCTGAAATTGCTTCAAACTACCAGTCACATAAGAGGCAAGAGTTCATTTGACCTACCAGGGATCAGAGCCGAAAGCGGGTCCCTTCATATGAGGCACAGAGAGCAAATGACATTCTGCCACTTCACTGGGAAAGCATCCAGAAAGTCAGCAAAGCTTTACAGACAACAGCTGGGTTCCCAAGACTGAAAACTACTAAAATGCCAAATAATGCTCCAATCAAAACAAAATAAACAAAAAACAAACACACAACGCTAGATAAAACCCTAAAGTATCAAATGCCATCATCATGCAGTCCGGCGCTCAGAGCACCGTCCGCCCACACACGAGTTTATTCACTGATGCGCAGCCTAGAGGAACACTGTTGAGCTCCTCTGTCACATCATCTTGCAGCAAGTCCCAGAGCTTCTGAGCTAAGTATTGGCCATCCTAGGACTTGTCCTGGGGGAGTTTTATTTGCTAGTGTATTGTTCAATTACAGAAGAGTACTGCTTCACATGTGTGTTTTCTGCCTGATTTTGTATTTCGTGGGGCTTGGCTTTTTTTTTACTCTGAACTGCATGTGCCCACCAGCCACTTCCCTGAGTGTTCGTTAGAGCACTGATCTTGCATTGACACAGTTCATTCTCTGGTGTGTTTTGGGGTTCACCCTTTTGAGGCCTGGCCACCAAGGTGGGGTGCCTTATCACAGGTATTTCAGGGTCTTCTGACTTCTGTTTAGACCCCTTGGCATTCATTAGGTTGTGTAGGGTGCACTAGGGGCTCACACGCTTGTTTATACATCACACAGTAGGCGCCATTTTGCAGCACAGGTAGTGACTCTGCTGGAGGTTAATGTTTTCTTTGGTGAGCCTCCCCAGTGCCTGGGAGCACCTGTCTGGCATTTTACCGGCAGTCCCAGGCATTCCCCAGTGAATATCTTACAAGGCGAATTGTGCAGAAAGAACGGCCCATCAAGCCTGCTCTCGCCCATCGCGAGTTTGAAGGTTGTTCGTCGCCTTTGCTACGTGGCGATGATCATTCAATCTGCCTTCACCATGATGCATGTTGGGTTGATTTTTATGACCCTGAACCGTATGAGATTTGTTCCCCCATGTATTCTGATCCTCTCTGATCCTGCCTCTGAAGCAGAGACATTTCAGGTAGTGCGGCATTATGGGCTAGGTTTGGCCAGTTTCAGCATTTGTGACTTTGTGCTCAGTTGGAATTCCCGGGATTACCAAGTGTAGTGTTTAAGGATCTGGATTTAGAAGTGTTTGTGATTTTCACCCTAGCTCCTGCCCACCACCTCTTGCTTCCCAGGCAGGTGAGGTTCGCCCTGCTTCAGTTCATCTTCCCATGGTTCTGGCTCCAAAATGTCCAAGGATTTCAGATTCAGGAAGGTAGTTGAACCATCTAGTCCTGCCAAGGAAGCAGGCAGTTGTGAAAGTTTTCTCCCTCACAACCACTATCAGTAAACGAACTGAGCAAAGATGATGACTGCATGTGGATACTAGGCCACAAGATGGTGGCATTCAGTACCTAAGAGTTTTGCATTAATTTTACTTATTTCTCATGTTTGTGAATCATTTGTGGAGATGATTGGCAATTTCCAGGCTTAGGTCTTTATTATCCCTCTAGTTGTCTGTTAATCTTCACTGACTTTCAAGGTACTTTCCCAATATAGTGGAGAATGTCACTTGCTCTCAGCACCTCTGTGAGAGTGCCAGCTTATATATAGTTTTGGTCCCTGGTAGGCCAAACATAACTCCCTCAGACATAAATGGTTATAGGAAGAAACGTCCTGAGGCAATGTTTAAAATCAAAATAAGACTACTAGAGTTATCCATTAGCATCAAGACAGGTATGTAAGCACTGTGATGCTACACGCATTTAATTCTGATGAATCAAAATTATTCTAAGATCTGCCACATGGGTGCTACAAGGCCTAATACAACAAAAGAGATGAACTCATAGTTCATGATAAAAACTTAATCAAAATGTTAAGATACTGTATAAATGTCACTGTTCACTTCACCTTTGATCTAGTCATAATTAACCTAAATGCAATATTGCCCCTACTAAATAAGGTACTGTGCTAATTAATGGTGACTAAGAGCAGAGTATTATAGAAGATAGGAAACTAAACAAAACTTACATCAATGACTGCATTAATAGCTTGAAGTGAGCACTGGCGAACTTGAGCCATTAACGTCGTTTCCTTTTCGCTGCCTCCCTCAAAGTCAGAGAAATCCGTCTCGGATCCACTTGCATGGACTCCTGCAGTGCTCTCATCTTGAGAAGATATTTCTGGACAGGTCTCTGTCACTGACAAGAAAAATATAACAAAGTTATGTATGATTACTACCATACAGGAATACCCTTTAAATATCAATACAACATCGGTTAATAAATCCAGCATTAACCGTTATGAAATGCCTCTCTCTGGACAAAAGTATCTCGCTGAGATTACTCCTAACTACTAGGTCATATCAGTCACCGAGCTCTGGCCTAACGGGAATCAGAGGCAGAACCTGGCCCATTCACACAGGCCCTGAGAGTGGATGACCCTCTGCTATTCAACCAGAAAGGCATTCAGAAAGTCATTGCATCAATACAGACCACTGCTGGGTTCAAAAGAACTCAAGCCTCAAAATTTGTCAAACTAACTTCCCAAACTACGTAAGCAAATGATCGACACTTTCAAACTAGCTTGAACTCGTTAGAACCAAACTACTGCCACTATGGGTAGTAGTTTGGTTCTAGTCAGAGCCCCAGCATTCCCCCAACCCTCTCAAATCAGACCTGGAGCAAATGTATAAGCCCCAATTACCAACTGACAATCTGGAGAGGAGGGAGGCCATCAGGGAGCCACCGGGGTTCATCCAGAAAGAGGCATTTCATTACATTCAATGCTGGGTTCTTTGGGAAGCCCCTTGTAGCTCCCTGAAGCCAACTAACCATGGAGATGGAAACTAAGGGACTAACCAGGGAGGAGGAGACATGGCAGGTACTATGGTGAAGACGAGACAATTGGCCAAAATAAACAGTCGAAGGTAAGAGGCTTGACGAGGCTCCAGAACAGTGATTACATACCAGGCTGCCAAGACCTTGTTAGCAATTTCAGCAGCTATGGAAAATTTATTTAATACATTTAATAAAACTGTGGACAACATGACAAACCATGTCAGAGTCAGAACAGGGGACCAAAGAGACCGAATCAACACACAAAGCATCTACAGAGGTATAATTGGTGGCATGAAGATAGTGGCGAAGGGCCACCACCGAACACAGCAAATGATGCACCTCTGACCAAACCAACCAAGCATCAATACCCAGAGGACCCCTCTGGAACCCCACAACTCATCCTTCACCAGAAAAGAAGGAGAAGGCTGTAAATGAACAAAATGCCCACCAGAGCCAAAGGAACACACACACACTCCAAGTCTGAAGAGGAGCATAAACCTGACACCCAGAGGCTAATCCCAACAGGAAAAAGGCTCTAGGAATGAAAATTGAACCAAAGGAAAACCGTAAACAAGGGAGCGGATAGAAAAGAAAGGATCTGGTCGAGAGACCAGGATGACTCCTTAGAAGCACAAGCAGGCCAGAGATGAAACAAAGCCCTAGACAACTTGCACAATGGTGCCTAGTGCAATGTCGACATTGAAAGCAAGCATTAGCAGCTCCACCAATGATGAGCGATAAGAAGGGATATTATTAGGAATGAGATGCAGGTCAAGCAATAAACAAAACAGAAAGGAAAGCACATCCTAAACAGACACAAGAAATATGACGGAGGGACATAAAGAAGGATAACAAATGCCAGGCAACTTCACACTACCACCTCGAGGACAACTGCAGGTGGGACACCATTAACCCATGCACTGCACATATTACATATGACACTTCTGTGGTGTGGAAAAAAAAAACAGCGTTGAATGAAATGAAACGCCATTCTCTGGGTAGACCGCCGGAGGTTCCCTGGAGCTATTGGACTGATATTAGCTAATATTAGTACAGGGCTTCAGTCACATGGAGTTGTCAAGCCTACCAGGGACCACGAGCCAGAACATGGTCCCCTCAGAGAGGTGCAGGGAGCAATAGCCTATGAAACTCATGTATGAAAGTATTCATGTCTGCCATCAACCGGGGTTGAGCACCCAGAAAGGTAGACGCTCCAAAACAGTCCCCTCCTGGTAGAAAACTTGCAACCTGAGACCAAACAGAGGCTAGAAACTCCCCCAAGGAAAACAAGCTAACAAGCAACAAGTCATCACACCGAGAGCTGTTTGTTCGCGGTGACCCCCTTCCCCGGAGGGTGAGAGGGCGGTCCCGGCCCACTAAGCCGGCAGTCAGACCATCAAAACAAAAACCGCCGACCGGGGAAGGGATGCTGCCAGGGAGCCTCCAAGGCTCTACAAAGAAAATGGAGTTTCATTACATTCAATGCATGTTTTCTGTGGGGGGCCTCCGTCGGCTCCCTGGAGCTACATAACCAAAGATAAGTAAAAGAGGGACTTATCCAGGAAGCAGCCGCACTGCGTGCCTCTAATTGAAGAAGAGACAACTGGCTGCAACCGGCGGCCCAAGGCCACACAAGAACGATTTGGAACCAGAACATTCACCAAATAATGGGGGCCCAGGACCCTGTTTGACCTCTAACTCCAGTGTCCAAATGTCAGCCTAGGACATGTTCCCAAACATGGTGGCCAAAGCCTCAAAGTTACGAACATCATGGGCACGAGGGTAGGCCGCAGGTTGGCTAGACATAACCCTGCGGACAACCTGAGAGACCCAACCCCTGGAACAGGGAATGAGGGAAATCAGATCAACCCAAAGCGCGTCCACGACCACAGAAGACGAGGCGTGCAGGTAACGGTGAAGAGTTGCAACCGGACACAACACATGATACACCCCCGGCCTAACAAACCAAACATCAATAACCCAAGGACCCCTCCGGAAGCTCGCTGTCTCGTTCTTTGCCAGAAAAGAAGACGGCTGCAACCGAACAAATCGTCCACCAGGACCGAAAGAGCACAAGCCTCTGCCCCAGAGGAGAGCAGGAAACTCCCTGGCCCAACCCCTAGAAGCCAAAGCCAACAAGATCAAAGCCTTCTGGAAACAGTCTTGAACGGAAGGAGGCCACTACAAACCAAGGAGAAGAGAGAAAGAAGAGCACTCGGTTCAAAAGACCAGGACATCTCAGACGGCGCATGAGCAGGCCCGAGGTGGAAAAAGGTACGAGAAAGCTTATGGAATGGGATGGAAGTGACATCCACCCCGAACACAAGCTGGAACAACTCCTCCAGCGCCGCACGATAAGAAGCGACAGTATTCAGCATAAAATGATGGTCCTGAAAAAAACAAGAAAGAAAGAAAGGACAAAACAACCCAAACAGAAACAGAAGACAACCTATGAAAAGAGAGAAAATGCAAAAAGAATGCCAGGAGACTTAATACTGTCGTCGAGACGAAGACCGCAGGTGGGACACCATCAACGAAGCTACCTGATCACCATGTAAGTGGTGATACACACGCGTCAAAAAGACCAAACGCAAAGAGCAGAGGAGTAGATCAAACCAGCCAAGTACTGGACCAGCACGATCTGTTGGAAGAGACGGAGCCACGGAAAACACCCTGGGATTAGACACCAAGCAAGCGACTGAAACCAAGACTGGGCCGGCCACAATAAGGCCACAAGGACAACTCTCGTGTGGTAAGACTCCAACACAAAGCAACAGCTGGACCAGGGGAAGAGGACAAGTAACCCCACCTCGACCAGTCCTGCCAAAAGTCCTCCACTGCGACAGCTCTGCAGGCAGGGAAGGGCGCAACATATATTGGGAGACGCCTCGACCTGGTCGACGTGATGAGGTCCACCTCAGGGAGCCCGTACATCTGGTAGAACCAAACGAAGGAGTCGGCATCGACCGTCCATTCTGTGGACAGGGGAATGAACAGACAGGCCGTCCAATAGGACGTTGGACACTCCCCGAATGTGAACCGCATGAAGAGCCAAACCCTGAGAATCCAGCAGACGAATCACTCGAAGTGACCAGCCCCAAAGAGCCAAGGACCGAAGAGAACCACAGTTCAGACAATGAACCACCGGAGAGCAGTCCAAATGGAGCTAGACCGTAGAACCACGAGCGACCCGAACCCTCCTAGACCATTGCTCCTCGTGCCTCTCTGAGGGGGCCAGGTTCTGGCTCGCTGTCCCTGGTAGGCAAGAGCTCCTAGCACATTGACTGATGTCAGAAAGTTACACACATCCATTCAGCCTGGATAGCTCTAAGGAGCCGATGGGACTCCCAAGAAAATAAATAAAACAACAAAAGTAAAAAGAGAATCATGAAGTTGCCTTGTAAACAGAGCAAGCACTGCGCCACCGAGACGAAGACGGCCCCGGAGGAGGCACCAGCACAAAAGCAGCACCAAAGGCCCACCTCGACAAACAAAAGCCGGAGCCCCAGCACAACCGCAAAACTCATGCCAAGACCCAAAGAGTGCAGGCTGCAAGCCAGGAAGACCCCGGAACCCCAGAAGAAGCAATTCCGGGGCGCACAGGAGGCAACCACCAAGGGCCACTGAACATTCACAGGGGAAACCAGAGAGGAAAAAAACTCCAGAACAAAACTGAGAACCTAAATGAACCTAAATGGGGGGGGGGGGGGGAGAAGCCCAAACCACCACATTTGCCAGCAGAAAACGCACCACAAAAGAAGGGCCAGACACATGACCCAGCAAAAAACCTCTGGCGAAAAATGGCCAGAAAAGGAACCGAAACCCGAGGGCCGAAGGCGTGGGTGCCAACAGAGCCAACAGGGTACAGACCTTGGGGCCACAGCTGGCCCCCCAAGGGCGGGGTAAACGCCAAGCAGCAAGAACCCCCACAGAAGTGGTTTCCCGAAGGCATTATGGAAGGGAACCCTAGCACCCAAAGGTAGTACTGTACTTACAGGGTGCTTAGGGAAGGAAGCCCTAAGTGCATCCAACCCTATTACACTTGAATAAACCTGGCCACCGCACCACACACAGCAGAAGACACCACCAATGGTAAACAACTGCCTAGAAACTGAGGCCAGAGTCGACGTACGCCCCAAATCACATCAGCCAACGAAGTGGAGTTGTTGCGTAGCTCCATGCCCGGGGCTTCCCCCTCCCCCTCCCAGATGGAATGTATTAATCATAGGAAGGTCAGGTTAGGTTTAAGTTTTCTTTGCAACATCAGTACAAAAACATTTCTGGTTTGTCCAAATTAATGGTACGGATTTTTACTTTTTAATTACCTTTTACGTCAATACTGTATTTCGTACGTAATGATTACATTGCCTCTTTTTTTTTTTTTCCTTCTATCTTCCAGCTTTGGCACATTTAACACCTCTAGTTTCTCCTCCTAGCTCTTGTTTTTCAACTTTAAAAGGTATTTCGTAACATACCTTTGCACCTTTTCTAGTTTATTAATGTGCTTCTCGAGATATGGGCACCATATAACTGCTGCATATTCCAATTTTGTGTCACAAATGTCATGAACAGTTTCTTCAATATTTCACCATCCGTTTATTTAAAAACGATTTGGAGGATGGAAAGCATACCATATGTTCCACGTATAATGTCCTTTATATGGTCCTCTGCTGACAATCAACCATTCAGAACCACCTCTAGATCTCTTTCTTTGTCAGAGTTCTTTAATGCCTTTCCACATAATTTGTAAACTTGTGTGTGGCCTATTTTCTTTTATTCCACATTCCATAACATTGTATGCTAACGAGGTCAAGCTATTCTCGATTGACAATCGTTTGTTTACATAATTTGGGGAGCTCATTTGGCAAATTTCTAGACTTCGGTTCTTTTGAACCCCGCATGCGCTCTTCCAGAAATCCTAAAATGCTCAACATGTGGTTAATGTCCTTGTTACGCATTTCATCTTATTAACTATATGACCTACTGAATGATAAAAGTATATACCAAATGTAATTCACTGCTAATTAGATTAAATACATCTTGCATTCCGAGACCATGTTACAGTCTGAGCAGTGGCTTGCCTATCATACACCACAACCTTGCTCTCCATCACAACTCCACATACAATAAAATTTCCCTTCATCTAATACAGTACAAACATTTTTCAAACAATAAACTAAAACAGCTGAACATGGTACAAATTTTGTTACCTTACCTGGAGAAGATATACCCGGAGGCTTATCCTCATCAGTTATGTGTATTTGCTTGCCTCGGGCCCACTGAGGTTTAAGAGAGACACCAGCTAGGGCTGTTGCTGGTGGGGGGCCTCGCAGCCCTAGGCCCATACCATCTACAGCTGCTACAAGAGGGCATGGCCCACCGTCACAGTCTGAAGTCGATCGTGATGGCTGGGCTCTTTTTCGACGCAGTCTCTTACGGCGATTTCGATTAGTATAATTCTGTAAGACGACTATCACAGTTTAGAGGTTAGAGGCCCTGCATAATTTTAAAGTATCAAGTTATACTCGATGTGCCTTTTCTTCATAACATACCATAATGTACTGACATAGCTGCCACCAAAAACCTCATTTGCTATGTATTTAACTTAATTACTTGACCAAAGATTGAAAGGTCACAACAAAACTAGAAAAATGAATTAGTCCTTTGACTGGAAACCATATAGCTCTATGACAACTACTGTAGTAATAAACGTAGCTTGCCTAAGTCTAATCTACTTAGTGTGTATTAATGAGTAAACCTAGACAAATTTTCATCACACAAACTCGTTCAACTGTACATAGCGTCATGCCATTTTCTTTGAAAGGACAATTAAATATATAAATAGATAAACTCACTGTAATGAAACATCCTTTTCTGGTGGTCCATCCAAAGTCTTAAGGAAATACACCAGATGCAAAGATCCTTGCCTACTGGGAGCCAGGACCAGAATCTGACTCTCATTATGGGGCAGGGAGATCTTAGGGATTACAGATCAACCAGAAACATTGAAAAACCCACCTAAAAGCATAAGCACAACAAATCAAGTAAATGCTTGAAGAAAAATTATGTATGGAAGACAATGAGGCAAACCATTATTGACTCGGTATAAACACCCTAACCATGATGCACCTAAAGAATATTTATAAACATAAAGAACGTTGTGCAAGGAGCCTATGCCACGCTTTCTAACTTCAGAATTGCTTTTAAATACATGGATGGCGATATACTAAAGAAATTGTTCACGACTTTTGTTAGGCCAAAGCTAGAATATGCAGCGGTTGTGTGGTGCCCATATCTTAGGAAGCACATCAACAAACTGGAAAAGGTGCAAAGACATGCTACTAAGTGGCTCCCAGAACTGAAGGGCAAGAGCTACGAAGAGAGGTTAGAGGCATTAAATATGCCAAAACTGGAAGACAGAAGAAAAAGAGGTGATATGATCACTACATACAAAATAGTAACAGGAATTGATAAAATCGATAGGGAAGATTTCCCGAGACCTGGAACTTTAAGAACAAGAGGTCATAGATATAAGCTAGCTAAACACAGATGCCGAAGAAATATAAGAAAATTCACTTTCGCAAATAGAGTGGTAGACGGTTGGAACAAGTTAAGTGAGAAGGTGGTGGAGGCCAAGACCGTCGGTAGTTTCAAAGCGTTATATGACAAAAAGTGCTGGGAAGACGGGACACCATGAGCATAGCTCTCATCCTGTAACTACACTAAGGTAATTACACTTAGGTAATTACACTTTGTGTCAGTTTAGTCTCGGTGCCTCCCAGTGTATGTGGTGCCCTTCCCCGACTATGAAGCTTTTTTTGTATACACTTTTTGGCTGGATTTGTCAAGGTGGGGGTTCCTTTACCTCTTCGCCGGTCCAGCTGTTGCTTCGGGTTCTGGCTCGGCTCGAATCCTTTTCGGGGCGAGTGATTCTCCTGGCTCCATGGTGGCCAGCCCAGCCTTGGTTTCAGGCGCTGCTTGCTCGGTGTCCGAACCCGAGAGTTTTTTCGTGGCTCTGCCTCTTTCAACAGGTCGGTCCAGTGATGTACCTTGCTAATTTGCCCTATTCCTCCGCTCTTCGTGTTTGGTGTTTTTGACGCGAGTGTATCACCATTTGTATGGTGATCAGGTGGCTTCTCTGATAGTGTCCCACTTGCGGTCTTCCTCTCAGCGACAGTATGAAGTCTCTTGGTGTTCTTTTTGCCATTTCCTTTCCCTTCATAGGTTGTTGTCCATTTCTGATCGTAATGTTTTGTCCTTTCTCTCTCTTGGCTTTTTCCAGACCGGCATCTTATGCCGAATACTGTCACTTCTTATTGCGAGGCGCTGGCAGAGCCGCTCCAGCTTGCGTTCGGGGTGGATGTCACTTCTGCTCCATTCTGCAAGCTCTCTCGATCATTTTTTCACCACTGGCCTGCTCATGCGCCGCCTGAGCCATCCTGGTATTTTCATCAGGTGCTTTCTTTTCTCTCTTCTCCTCGGTTTGTTGTGGCCCCATCAATTTAGGATTGCTTCAGAAAAGCGTTGTTTTTGTAGGCTTTGACCTCTGGAGGTTGGGTCGGGGAGCTTCATGATCTCCTCCGGCGCAGAGGTTTCTGCTCCTTTGACCCTAGGGAGCATTTTGTTCGTTTGCAGCCTTCTTTTTTTTCTGGCGAAGAATGAAACGGCAAGCTATTGGAGGGGGGCCCATGGGTTATTGATACTTGGTTAGTCTTGCTTGCTGTGCTGCCACCTCCAGCACCGCATGCAAAAGGGTAAGTCCCTTTTTTGTGAGTATATAGCTGCAGGGAGCCGACGGGGCTCCCCCCAGAAAACCAGTGCTGAATGTAATGAAACACTATTTTGTTGCTGGTCGGATGTAGCAAAGGACCACTGGCCCCTTTTCCAGCGAAGAACGAGTCGACTGGCTTCTGGAGGGTCTCTCTTGGGGTTTGATGTTCGATTGGTTCGACCGGGAGTAGATCATGTGTCTGGTGGCGGCTGTCTGCCATTACCACCTTGCCACTGATTCTGCCTCGGTGGATGCTTTGTGGGTTGATCCGGTCACCTTGGTCATCTGTTCCAAGGCTCATATTTCTTAGGTCTACTAGATACCTGCTTGATGGGGTTCTGGAAGGTCTTCTACTCCCCAAGCCCGGCCCAAGGCCAGGCTTGACTTGTGAGAGTTTGGTCCACCAGGCTGTTGCTTGGAGCGGCCCGCAGGCCCACATACCCACCACAGCCCGGTTGGTCCGGCACTTATTTTTAGAAAACAATCTAGTTTTCTCTTGAAGATGTCCACGGTTGTTACAGCAATATTTCTTATAGTTGCTGGGAGGACGTTGAACAACCGCGGACCTTTGATGTTTATACAGTGCTCTCTGATTATGCCTATGGCACCTCTGCTCTTCACTGGTTCTATTCTGCATTTTCTTCCATATCGTTCACTCCAGTACGTTGTTATTTTACTGTGTAGATTTGGGACCCAGCCCTCCAGTATTTTCCATGTGTATATTATTTGGTATCGCTCTTGCCTCCTTTCTAGTGAGTACATTTGGAGAACTTTGAGACGATCCCAATAATTTAGGTGCTTTATCGCGTCTATGCATGCCTTATATGTTTCTCTGTATTCCCTCTATTTGAGCAATCTCTCCTGCTCTGAAGGGGGAGAAGTGAATACAGAGCAGTACTCAAGACGGGACAGCACAAGTGATTTGAAAAGTACAACCATTGTGATGGGATCCCTGGATTTGAAAGTTCTCATAATCCATCCTATCATTTTTCTGGCTGATGCAATATTTGCTTGGTTATGCTCCTAAACGTTAGGTTGTCGGACATCATTATTTCCGAATCCTTGAAATGCTGTTTTCCTACTAGGTCATCTGCAGTGTTAGCAAATCCAGCCAGCCTGTGGCCTACCCTCGTGCCCATGACGTTCAGGAGTAAGCCTCTCTCTCGGCTGTGTTTGATAACGTGTCCTTGGGCTGATATTCGGGTGCGGGGGGTTTTGGAGGTCAAACAGTGTTCTGGCCCGCCACACACTGCCCTTGTGTGGTGTTGGGTCGTGTCTCACGAACTGGTGTCTTCCTGATCCTGATCCTGCGGTGATTCCTCACCCTGATCCTGCAGTACTTCCTCATCTCAGGTAAGTGCCCTAGGTATCCTTCTCCATGGATTGATAGCTTCAGGAATCCACAAGGGGCTCCCCTCCAGACAACCAGAATTGAATGTAATGAAATGCCAGTTTTTGGGTGAGCCCCAGTGGCTTAGGGGCCCAGAGCTTACTATTACAGGGGTACCTCAGTTTAAGAGTTTAATTCGTTCCTGGAGATGGCTCATATTCCGAAAACTCGTATTCCGAAGCTAATTTCCCCATAAGAAATACAGAGCACCACTTGGTTTCCGAACCCCTTGGGGACGAGACCCGTCGGTTAACATGTAAGTTCGTATACGAGAAAGAGGGGAAAAAATAAACTATAAATGTAAAAAGAAATTTTTCCGAAAAATTTATGAAAAAAACTCTAGGGAAAAAAATCGTCAGGTTCATGGCGTAAATGCGACCGTGTTTTGTTTGTACTCATCAATAAGTGAAGTCCTGATCCGCTTTATAAAAGTCCTTAATTGTTCCTAACTGATTATTAAGACGTCTGGCAAACATCCTCTGGATGTTTCCTGCCAGCCTGCAGGAACATCCTGCCTAAAATATACGATGATGTACTGTACATTTAAGAAACAAATCTGGGTCACAGGTCTGTGGAGTGTGGTTAGGCTTACGGAGTCAGCCGGTCCCTCCCCCACCACCGACACACCTCCCCCTCTCCCCCCACCACCGACACACCTCCCCCTCTCCCCCCACCACCGACACACCTCCCCCTCTCCCCCCACCACCGACACACCACCCCCACCCCCCACCCCAAACCCATACACACACACACTCTCTCTCTCTCAAAGGTCACGTGGTTCACGGCTCACTTCAACACCCATATATCGCTTCCTGCCTGCCTGCCTGCCTCCTTCCCAGCCTGCCTCCTTCCCAGCCTGCCTCCTTCCCAGCCTGCCTCCTTCCCAGCCTGCCAGCCTGCTTCCTTCCCAGCCTGCCTCCTTCCCAGCCTGCCTCCTTCCCAGCCTGCCTCCTTCCCAGCCTGCCAGCCTGCTTCCTTCCCAGCCTGCCAGCCTGCTTCCTTCCCAGCCTGCCAGCCTGCTTCCTTCCCAGCCTGCCTCCTTCCCAGCCTGCCAGCCTGCTTCCTTCCCAGCCTGCCTCCTTCCCAGCCTGCCTGCCTGCTTCCTTCCCAGCCTGCCAGCCTGCTCCTTCCCAGCCTGCCTCCTTCCCAGCCTGCCAGCCTGCTTCCTTCCCAGCCTGCCTCCTTCCCAGCCTGCCTCCTTCCCAGCCTGCTTCCTTCCCAGCCTGCCTGCCTGCCTCCTTCCCAGCCTGCCAGCCTGCTTCCTTCCCAGCCTGCCTCCTTCCCAGCCTGCCAGCCTGCCTCCTTCCCAGCCTGCCAGCCTGCCTCCTTCCCTGCCTGCCAGCCTGCCTCCTTCCCAGCCTGCCTCCTTCCCAGCCTGCCTCCTTCCCAGCCTGCCTGCCTGCCTCCTTCCCAGCCTGCCTGCCTGCCTCCTTCCCAGCCTGCCTGCCTGCCTCCTTCCCAGCCTGCCAGCCTGCCTCCTTCCCAGCCTGCCAGCCTGCTTCCTTTCCAGCCAGCCTGCCTCCCTCCCTGCCATCATGCTAACGGGTAGTGTGTGTTAGGCTTATCTTCGGGAATGAGCCGGTCTCACCCCCACCACCAACAAACCACCCGCCCCCCTACATCCCATCTCTCAAGGTCACGCGGTTCAACCGCGAGACTACCACTCACTCCCTGCCTGCAAGCTAGCCTGCCTGCCTGCCTGCCTGTCTGCCTGCCTGTGCCTGCCTGCCTGTGCCTGCCAGCCTGCCTGCCTGTGCCTGCCAGCCTGCCTGCCTGTGCCTGCCAGCCTGCCTGCCTGTGCCTGCCAGCCTGCCTTTCCCTCCCTAATTCTCACTACTACTTCCATCCCTTCCTGCCTACCTCCTAGCATCTCTCCCTACCTCCCCCTCCCTCTTAGCATCTCTCCCTACCTCCTAACATCTCTCCCTACCTCCCCCTCCCTCCTAGCATCTCTCTCCCCCCCTCTCTCACTGATTCTCCCCCCCCCTCATTCATACTGCCTCCCACCTAAACTCCATCGTCCATCCACCCACTAGTCAGCCATAACTGACGCAATGCGTGCATTTGGAGCCAACATGGTGCACAGATGTTTCTTGATTGTGCAGATATGTAAAACAAAAGCACAGAATGAACATTCCAGCCTTATGGCAATTCAAAATAATCGGAATAATAGGCCGTGAATCTGTGAAGTCACAGTGGGCAAACTGGACCATCGCCCACCCACCACCACAAGCCGGCGTGACGCTTGGCGGACCCCTTCCTACCCGAACTTTGTTCGGGTAGCATGACTCCCCAACCCCAATCGGGAAACTGGAAGTTTCGGATAACTAAAGTTCGGAAACCAAGTGGTGCTCTGTAATAGGAAATGAATTAATCCGTTCCTGACTACCCCAAAAACCCCACATCAAACTAAATTTTTATACCTAATTCATCTAAATAAACCTACAAAACTATGTTCAAGTTATTACTTACCCTTGCTGAGGACTGCTGTTGGTGTATGGAAGATGTGAGGAGGAGGGAGGAGGAGAGGTGTTACTGTTTGGAAGAGGAGTCTCCTTCCACTATAACATCAGGCAGTGAGGACTTCACTGGTATGCACACTCTGGCACATTTTGCCTGCATACCACTGACCATATGAGTCATAAATACTCATACTCCACCTAAGTAAACCAGAAATGGGTAACACTTAGTGGGCCAGCTAGAGGCTTAGGGCCCGTGCAGGAATATCCCCGAGAAAAACAAAACCTGCTGACCTCCCCACTCCTCAGAAACGAGTGAGGAAGTTGAGGCGAATGAGCTGCTGCTCGTTTTGAAAATTTTTGATCGTTTGTTTACATTGTTGGGAGTTCTTTTGGCATGTCATTTGGTAATGGTCTCTTCTTAGCCAGCTGTGGTTTGTTGGCCTTGTTGGCATTCTAGGTGCCTTTCCTGGAGGTGCCTTTCCTTTCCATAAATAAATAAATGCCACTACTCCCTGTGCCCCTGATAGGGGCTCTTGGTCCCGGTAGCCAGATAGAATTCTGCAGCTGTTGCGACCCAGTAGATGGTACACATCACTGATACTTCAGGGAGCCACCGAGGCTCACCCTGAAATGGGCGTTTCAATACATTCAAAGCTGGTTTTTCGCCCTATCCTACTTTAAATATATGAAATTAAAACATGTAAAAACATTTGATACAATAATTAAAACTTATTACAGTACTGTACTAGTAATGTATCTTGTGAGGTCAGCAAACATAGCTAGTACTTACTCTTGAGGAAGAATCACTTTCAATGCCAGATGAGAGAGGAATATCCACTTGAAGGCTAGCCGTGTGTTGTACAAGTTGGCTATGAGCAAAACCCGGCAGCCCATAAAACACATATGGACGGCATGCACTAACAATTATGCTTCCCAATACATCATTTGGGGCACACACAATAAGATTGTACAAAACACTTAAAGCTGATGCAACTAGATGTAAATATAATTTATGTGAACAGAGGTCTGGACTGGGTAAGGATTGTCTTAAGATGCCAATGACAATTCTCTGAATACTAGACACGACTTCCGCTGGGAAGATTTCCTCGCCATGCTGCCGAGCTTCTGCAACAACTTCCGGGGTGACGTAAGTCAGAAGATGTAAACATCGCATTGCAAGTGCTTGATTTCGCCAAGATGTGTCTGACTCCAGTGTCAATATAAGTGAACCCTTGCTACCAGCTAAACCCAAGTAGATCTGAAATAGAAATTACACACATATCAGTTATCAGAACAGAACAACCAATTTGCTTGTCAATCAATCACTTTAATAAAAATAACAGCAGTAAACCAATTTTTAGTAGATTTAACCCCTTAACTGCGTTGCCTCCAAATGTGACACCCCCGCAGTGCGCAGGAAATAAATTCTCTGGAAAAAATTCTTTTTTCTTTTTAAAGTGTCAAAAACCCTTCCCTCAGTATGGGTATGTAAAAAAAAAATCGAAATTGTACTTACTTTGGCTGCTATGGGGTCCGGAAGTTGGGGCGTGACGTCATCATTCCCCGTGCGCCCGTGCCGTAAGCTCTCGGGGGCGGTGGGGCGCTCGGGACGGGGCGCGCAAGTTGCCGCGAATATATTTTCGTTAATTTTTTGCGCACCTTTCCAAATACATTTTCATTGTTTTTACGAGCCAATCCAATGTATAATGAACACGTACACTATAATATCGCAGTACAACATCCGTACTGTCCGTAGACACTGTGTTACGTGCATGAAACTTGTGTACACATATGCAGCACATATTTACTATGTACCATGCTAATTTGTGTATATATACAATCTATTTACACACTATACACTGTCACACACTATATACATTCACCATCAACACATTCAGAACACCGCGTAGCAGCTGCTTCGTATGGGCCAATAGCAGCTGCCCCGTATGGGCCAATAGCAGCTGCCCCGTATGGGCCAGTAGCAGCTGCCCCGTATGGGCCAATAACAGCTGCCCCGTATGGGCCAATAACAGCTGCCTCGTATGGGCCAATAGCAGCTGCCTCGTATGGACCAATATCAGCTGCCTCGTATGGGCCAATATCAGCTTCCTCGTATGGGCCAATAGCAGCTGCCCCGTATGGGCCAATAGCAGCTGCCCCGTATGGGCCAATAGCAGCTGCCCCGTATGGGCCAGTAGCAGCTGCCCCGTATGGGCCAATAACAGCTGCCTCGTATGGGCCAATATCAGCTTCCTCGTATGGGCCAATAGCAGCTGCCCCGTATGGGCCAATAACAGCTGCCTCGTATGGGCCAATATCAGCTGCCTCGTATGGGCCAATATCAGCTGCCTCGTATGGGCCAATATCAGCTGCCTCGTATGGGCCAATATCAGCTGCCTCCTATGGGCCAATAGCAGCTGCCCCGTATGGGCCAATAGCAGCTGCCCCGTATGGGCCAATAGCAGCTGCCTCGTATGGGCCAATAGCAGCTTTCCCGTATGGGCCAATAGCAGCTGCCTCGTATGGGCCAATAGGAGCATTTGGCCATGAACACATTCAGAACACCTCGAGTGAGAGCAGCCAGTCTCCCTCACTCCAACATCTTACTCGCCAACATTGCTCATCCCACCATATTGTTATAGTTCTTATTACACATGTTCTATATACCTATCTACATGTTTTATTTACCAGAACTATGCAAGTAAGCCGGTATTGTGTCCAAACAGTACAGTGGCCACAATACACTGCATGAAAAATCACACAGCAGACGACGCTACGATTACGTCACCTCCCTCACCAAAATAGCTCCTCTCAACATTCTCCTGTTGCTGTTCTTACACTATATACACACACTATATATACCCATGTACATATGTGTTGCCCATAGCGAACCACTAAGCTAGTATGGTGAGCAAAACAAGAGTGGCAGCCACACACACGATGAGGTTACCTCAATTCTCGCCCTCCCTCCCTCATCAAAATTCCTCCTTCCACAATACTACGCACAACGCTAATTATAACCACAATCCTGTTATTATCACAATCCTGGTCACTAATTCCTGTAAATGAATAATTGACCACACATATATTTTGAAAAGGAACCTAAGAAATCATTTGAAGATTCCTAGATGAACGAAATAATGCTGTGGTGCTGTGGCTAGCGCTGTGAACATCGTGAACAGCATTGAATCACTGATATTTGAACATTGTACCCAGTCATTATCACACTCAGGCTCTAATATAACACTATCATAGCTAAATAATACAAGTTATATATATATTTTGACATTATTAGGCGATGCTGTGGTCACATGCTGAACAGCAGTGCTGTGCGCTCATGCTGTGAGCGCCAGCCTTGGTTGCTCACACACTACTGAGGCTCCCACACCCGGGAATGTGGACCACGATTTTTTTTAAAGATGGCGTCTGTTTACAAGAGCCCTGAGGAAGCTGATGTGAACCCCATGTAGCCGCGGGAGTTTTGAATGGAACGTGAAAAATACAAATACCCGGAGGCGCGTTGCGCAAACCAGACGTGATCCTGCAGGCGCGTTGCGCAGTTTAAGGGTTAAGATAATACATTTATCTACGCTAAATGTAAAAATTAAGCAAGATACATTTTGCTCACATTCGATTAATGTAGATATTCCTGGCACCTTATGCCAGGCATATTTCACAATACTAATAATATCATGAATATACAAAGAAATCACACTAGCTTCATATACAGTATATCAATAAGAAAACAAGTCAGGGTGGTCCAGTGGTTAGCGTTAATGCCTGAGAGTCTATCGGTCGCGTGTTTGAATCACCTCAGAGCTCCAGTTGATTTTCTCAGCATCAATATTTTTAAACAAAAAACCAGCGTTGAATGTAATGAAACGCCATTTTCTGGGTGAGACCCGGAGGCTCCCCGGAGCTATACCGGGCTGATGTATATATATATTAGACTGTGGCAACAGTCAATCGAAGGAGTTCTAGGCCTACCGGGGACCAGAGCCAGAACCTGGCCCCCTCAAGAGAGGCACAAGGAGCAATGGCCTAAAGACACCCCCATGTAATTGGAAGCAGTCTTTGTCTGCCATCTACCAGGTCAGGCACCCAGGAAAGTAGGAATTCCAAAACAAACTGCTGCTGGTCAAAAATTGCAAATCAAAAGCCGAACTAGCAAGCAGAACTTCCCAATCAAAAACAAGGACACAAACATGATGTCACCACAACCGCAGCACATGCGTCTGCACAACCCCCCCCCCCCCTGGGAGGGGGACCGAGGGGAGGGAAGAGCAGACCTCCAAACTGGCAACTCTCCTCAGTTCAGAGGCTAAGTATCAAAAACGCGAAAAACCACCAACCGGGAGGGAGGGAGAGATGCCGGGGAGCCTCCAAGTCTCACCCAGAAAATAGCGTTTCATTACATTCAACGCTGGTTTTCTGTGGAGAGCCCCTTCGGCTCCCCGGAGCTACCTAACCAAAGATAAGAAGAAAAAGAGACTCACCCGGGAGGCAGTCATCACTCACTCCTCAACTCAAAGTCGAGACAACAGGTCGCAACCTGCGACCCAAGGCAATTCACACCCAAGAAGGACCAGGAACATTAACAAGGTAACGTGCAGCCAGGCCCCTGTTCGATCTCCAATAGCCCCATGCCCAAATCAAACTGAATCATCCTGCGGACAACCTGGGAGACCCGCGCCCTGGAATAGGGAAGAAGGGAAACTGGGTCAACCCAAAGCGCATCCTCTGCCACAGAGGCCATAATGCGCAAATAACGGCGAAGAGCCACAAACAGACACAAAACAAGATGCAACCCTGGCCGAACCAACCAAGCATCAACAACCCAAGGACCCCTTTGGAAAGCAGCAGACTCATTCTTGGCCAGAAAAGAAGGAGACAGCTGCAAATGTAAATGAAGAAAAGACCACCAGGACCGAAAGAGCAGAAACCCCTGCGCCGGAGGAGAGCATGAAACTCTCCGACCCAACCCCCAGAGGCCAATGCAAACAAGAAAAGAGCCGTAGAAAACAGTCCTGAACTAAGGGGGCAACCCTAAACCGAGGAGAAGGGAGAAGAGAGCACCCGGTGCAACGAACAGGACAGCTCAGGCAGCGCATGAACAGGCCGGAGGTAAAAGCAATGCCCGAGAAAACTTGCGGAACAGAAGTGACATCCTCCCCAAATACAAGCTGCAGCGGCTCCGCCAGTGCCACCCAAAACAAGGCGACAGTATCTGGCATAAGAAGATGGTCCTGAAACAACCAAAAGAGAAAGGACAGAACAACCTGACCAGGAAACGAAGACAGCCTACAAAGATACTAGTGCCGACAAGACCGCCAGGAAATCTCATACTGCCGTCGAGACGAAACTTGCAGGTGGGGACACCAACTAAGCCACCTGATCACCATACAAGTGGTGATAAACTCACGTCAAAAAGACCAGATGCGAGAAGCAGAGAAGATCGAACCAGCCACGTACCGGAATGGACCGATCTGCTGAAAGAGGCGGAGCAGCTGGAAGACCTTCGGGTCCGGACATCGAGCAAGAAGCGCCTGAAAACCAGGGCTAGGCTGGCCACCAAAGAGCCAATAAGACTATTCATCCCTGGTAAGTCTCTCTGAGCTAACCAGGACCCGGAGCAACAACCGAACCGGTGGGAAAAGGTACAGGTAACCCCAACTTGACCAGTCCAGCCGGAAGGCATCGACACCGACGGCCTCATAGTCTGGGAAGGGCGCCACATACACTGGAAGACGCCTCGACCAAGTCGATGCGAAGAGGTCCACCTCTAGGTGCCCATATGTCCGGCAGAGCCAACTGAACGAGTCTGTGTCGACCGTCCATTCCGTAGATAGGGGAATGAACCGAGAAAGGCCATCCGCCAGGATGTCCGACACCCCCTGAACGTGAACTGCCAGGAGAGCCAAACCCCAAGAACTCAGCAACGAGTCACCTGAAGCGACCAGACCCAAAGTGTCAAAGACTGCATTGAATCCCTGCCGTTCAGACAATGAACCACCGGGAAGCAGTCTGAATGGAGCTGGATCAACACGAACCCTCTGAAGCGAATGCCACACCACCGCGAACTCCTGCGCCATGCTGTGAGTCCGACAGAAGGGCGGACCTCACTGACTCTGGCCGGCCTGATGAGCACTGATCACAAAACCCCAGCTAAGAGACGAGGCATCTGTGAACACATTGAGCGAGGACTCAGGAAGGCGTCAGGGCAGAGAACCCCGAAAAAACCCTCAAGAGGAAGCTGGA